GCAATATGAGCACTGCACACCCGATACTGCAGTACACTGCACTGATTACACAGTGGTGAACGCTGCACACCTGAGGCAGCTCTACATAGCACTGATCACACACAGTGCTGAACGGTGCCAACACGCTACACTGTGCTGTATATATCCTGCTGTTATAGCCTAGACACTGCTACTCTACTGGCTACTGTACTGCACATATCTGCTCTTTTGGACACCACATACTGCACTGTGCTGTGACTGTGACTGTGTTGCAGGGCGTTGCTGGAGCAGGTGGAGCAGTGGCAGGGGTTTCTGGCTCTTGTCAACATGATCATGTTCTGCACAGGAATCCCAGGACATTACCCCGTCAATGAGACCACCAGCTCCCTCACTCTCACTTTCTGGTACACCCTGCAGGTAGGCATTGTGTCCTGGGAATTCCAGGCCATTACTGCACCCTGTAAACTTCAGAGCAAGCCATCTAAGTGCTGCACACCTTCTTTTTGATTTTTCTGTTCTTTTATGCACTGCAGTTTTGTACAACAGTTCAAAAGTCATCATTTTATGCATCTCCTCTTTTCCGGAATAAACACCCTATTATTATTAAGCCGGGTTGTGTTGAAGCTGGGAACCTTCCGGAAGCAGCTGGAGGTCCTCGCTCTCATCTGCAGCTCCAGCTAGATGGTGATCTTGCCCTTCCCCTGCAGCACAAAGTGATCAGGCTGGCTGGCCACACCTTGGCTCAAAAGTTTTAAAGAAGCCAGGGTATCAGTTTCAACAACATGGCTGGGTAGCTTGTTCCAGACTCCCATAACCATTTGGATAAAGAGAATGCCTCCTGTTTTCCAATTCTAAAGACACTTCCCCATGGTTTCCACCTTAACCCTCTTGTTTGCTTCTGAAGTAGTTTGCTGGGTTGATTTTGCCAGTGTCATTGAGGTTTTGAATACTTGAATTATTTTTCCTCTTTGTGATCATTGTTAAATAGCCATATTTACGTGTGCCCTACTGTTACTTTACTGTACCAAACTGCTACAGTGAACATCACCTTAAAGTGAATATTTTGTACCCAATCTGTAGGATTTATAATTCCTATAATAGACATTTTATCCTAATTGTAGATCCTGTGTAATATGCAAGTCCTTTATCTCCTGTACCGTGGTTTCCCTGTCTTTGAGAGAGAGAACAGGCTGGCCTTGGCAGCACACATCTCTGTCTCCTTGCGCACGGGTTTAAAAATAGCATGACCTTTGCAGCTGAGATAATAGGCAGGCACTGTCAGGCACCCTCCGCAGTTTCCTGCTGTGCTAAAGAGCAGCCCTGTCTGTGGATTTTTCAAAATGTTGCTCTTCATAGCATCTTATGTTGAGGCCCGTATCTGTATCTGGTGTCCATTTTGGTGTTTTTGGAGCAGTACACCGATGTCAAGAATAGCCTGATGGATTTATCTCGATCCCGTGAGCAGGCTCATAGTACAGGGTAGCTGGTTTGCAGCGCGTGATATTTTTACATGTTTTGACCACAAACGTGGGTAAAAATGTTGATGATATAGTGTGTGTCTCCACTGCCTTGACATATCTGCTTGCTGGTGGGATGGTGAAAATCCTGTGGGAGCTGATTAGCAGAGCTCCATAAAACAATTATTCAGATTTAGTATTCTAGGAGGAGTCGAGGGCCTGACTAGGGTAAACCTATGCATTGAGTTCAGCTTTTATGAGCTCTTTGCCTTTTCCACTTATGCAGTTGTGATAATTGCGCCTTTGATTGCAAGGTTTTGCATAAGTTTGGGGCCAATAAATAAATCCTACATTAGAAAATTAAGAATTTCTTTTTTTTTTCCAAAGTGAGTTTTGTATTTGTCTCTCAAGGTTCTGAATAATTCATATGCGGACAAATTAGTAACATCCTATATTATTTAAAAACGAGTGACTTGCAGAGGATATAATCATAACTCAGACTTGTGTGATCATTCAAGATGTGCTTTTGAACAGTTCAAGTAATATTTATACACAGATCTTGCACATCTTTGGTTCTGATGTGACAGAAAGACGAATAATCTTGTAATCTGACACAAATGAAGAGACTCTAGGCTGTAGTACTTTCAGAACTGAAACCAGCTGTTAATTGAAACTGAAGTAGCTGTTAATTGAAAGTTGTCAGGTTGCAAAGATCATCTCCCTGCAGCGATCAGCAGTGCAATCAACTGGTGTCAGATTTATTCTTAAACCAAAGAAAATTTTAAAAGGATTTTGTCTGTCTGTGCTTCTGCTAAATAAATGCTGAAAAGAGCTAATTATGCAATGCATGGCAAATCTGAAATTAAAAAAATGCATGCAGCCTGCTGAAGTAATTCAGACTGGGGCTTTGAAGATAGAGACGGAGCATAACCCTTGCTTTGTTTTGTATAAGACCTCTGGTTTTGAAGTCGGGTGGTGGAGCTCGAAAGTGAGGATGTTTGTATTAAAGGAGCAGAAGTTAGTCTTGCCGCCTGTAGCCCGTCCTGTTCCATAGCGGCGACTGTCTCATTCTGGTGGTAGTTGGGATCTTAATGCAATGTGCCACTGGCTAAGAGGCTCACTCGACTGTGGCGACAGCTGTGATCTAGCTGCTGAATGAGGATTTCGTGTTTCAGAGGCCTCTTAGAGGCATAGAAACAATTAAGGTTTCTATTTCGGAGCATTTCGGGCTTTGCGAGATGCAGTTTTGGGATATTTTCTGCATCTTACATTGTTTGTCTTATAAATGTAGCATTGCCAAGCATTTCAATTGTCTGGCATTCCACCCATAGGTCATTCATCTAGGCTCACCTGACAGCAGTCTTCCCAATATGCAACTCGTTACTGGAGCAGAGAGCTATTGCATCAGCTGTCCCTGTGTTTTGTGTGTCAGAGCAGGTGTCATTTAGATTCTGCAGTAGTTAAAACATCCTCAAAAAATGCTGCTGATGAGAGGCAATAGTCTGGCGTGTCTCACTTGAATCATCCCAAGGTCCTGGGCAGGAAGATTCTCAAACATGTCCCATTGACTCACCATTCACCACGTACCCGGGCAGATTGTGCTGACAGTAGAAAGGGCAGCAATATTTCTGGACATCAATGCTCACATTCAGAGTAAATCTGTGGGTCCCTTTAGTTATTTCCTAGGGTGCTTTTTCCCATTCCTGTAATTATGACTCATTTGTCTTTAGATGCCCCAAAGGGATATTTTAAAGCT